TAGTTTTATTTTTCTCCTCCCCTTCCAGTCATAACAAATGAGAAATATAATATAAAGATCAGTTTTTTAAAAAAAGATTGTTTCCCACTAAAATAAATCTTGTCCTTTCAACCCCCCTAATTTTATAAGGCTGAAGTGGTTATAGAGCTTGGGTCTTAAATAACAATATTCCACTATATTCCATTAAATGATTATGTAAAAAAAACTCCCCTTTAGTCAGTTGTTACCTCCTAGAAATTATAGACAGTTGGGTGGGTTTTTTTTTTTTTTTTTTTAAGTACCATTGCTTTGAAAATGCTGTTTTCAAAGCATCCATATTTATACCTATGGGATAAATCAACAGAATCTGGCTAAACATATTTTAAACAAAATAAAAACTTCAAACTATTAAGATGTTCATAAATGTTCCTTTCCATTTCTAAGTACATATAATTATTCAAACTATTCGTTTTCATTGAGGATGCAAAAGAGGTTTATTAAAGGTTGAGTAAGAGATCCAAGAAAGTTATTTAGGTTGATTCACTAAATATTGTTTAAAGTAGGCCTCATAGGAAAGGTACTAAAGTGAGATGAGACATAGTTGATTGGATCAGATAAGATCTTAATTTTTTTAGAGAAGTCAGTATTGACAGCACAAAGTGATTGTAAATAATCAATACATTAATGGTATTGTATTCTGAAAAAGAGAGGTATATGTCTCTTTCCAATCTGTTCTGATTCTTGACAAAACTGGAATATCTTGTTCTATTCTGGGAAGCAGCAGCACTTTAAGGAGGACACTGGCAAGCTGGGGCCCAACCAGGGGAGAATAAAAAGTGGAGTGAAAAGTCCGAGGACCATGAAATATGAAAATAGTCTAAAAATAGCAGTGGCTGACCTAGAAAAGGTAGGTCCATGACAGATCCACAGCCATGTGCCAGTACTGAACCATTGCCACTCAATATGCCACTACCTGTTATTATTCCCCATGAGTAAGCAGGCAGCCAGCCAGACTCCAGGCCAATTAAGAGAGTATGAGCATCTCAGAAGGACCTAATAGAACTCTCACTACAAACAGATGGCATTCAGGGCAGCTGGATGCCCTCAGGAGAAGTAAACAGCCATCACCATCAGTTATAATGACCCATGTGACAATAGCTCATACCCTAATTCAAGATCCTGAAACATGCCTTGTTTGCCCGCCCACCTCCATGCCTCTCTTCACCATGTTTCCTCTGCCTGGTTGTTATGTCACTACCTTCCCACCTATAGGTCCTAAGTGAAGCTTTAGCACATCTGAAAGCTTTCTCAGTGGATCACCTTCTATTTTTCCCCAGATGAGTAGGGTATTTCTCCTTATATTAAAATACCACTCTGCACAAACCTTTTATGGAAAGGACCGTTTGCTTTGTAGTCATTGATTTACTTGATAGCAGGAATTATGAGCCTAAACTGAGACACATCTGTGCATGAGGGGGCATTTATTTGGACAAGTTGATGTGCATGGAGGAAAAGGAGAGAAGGAGATTTTATGCATCTGAGCCTGATGGCCAAGATGGAAAAAAGGTGAGGAAATCAGAAGAACGACTTAGTGACTGGCCCTCAACCTGGGGTCTGGTTTCTAAGCATTGGCCCCACGGACTAAGTCCAAGGTCAGTGGAGAAAGTAAGGCTGCAGACAAAAGCTTTGGGAACTAAAAGACTTGTAAAAAAGACAGAGTCCACACAAGGCTGTTTAGGGGTTAGGTAACAAATAGAACACACAGTAGGGAAAGCGAGCTTTCTCCCTGCTTCAGCACTAACTACCCCGCTTTGCTTGGGTTTGGGAAAGCCACCAGGGCCTCTGAGACAGTGCTGGGCAATTGTGGCACATCACCGGTAAGGATTCCAGTTATGCCTGTGGGACTTTTGGGGTGGGCAAGGAAGCCCATGTCCTGCAGCTGCTGCTCTGCCGTGTCTGGAGTGTATTTAGGGATGGGCTCTTGGCAGAAATGATGAGTCAGCCGTAATTTTTAAAAAATCCTGGCAACTCCTGGAACAACTTCAAGAGGATTTTTGCATGGGGTCAGGGCTCTTATACTACATGGAGAGAAATGACCAAGTAACCAAGTATAAATTACTACTGTCAATGTCACTCTGCTTACAGTCATAGTCTGGAGGCCTATTATATTCTTGACCTACTCCTACCCCTGTTCAGTGGCCTTGAGATCCTGGAGGAAGGAGACTGCTGAGTTTTTAAAAATCTCTGTAGCCCCCATTATCTATCAGAGAACCCAGCACAGAGTAGCTACTCAACATACAGCTACTGAATGAAGCCATAAAATTAATGCAGGAATAACTATTTCTGAAGGACACATTTAGAACAGATGGAAGTTACAAGAATGTAATTCAACATAAAATGCCTTTCTAACAATCAGTACTCCCTATTAGTGGAAAAAAGCCATTATGACAATGAGAATCCTCTCAGCAGAGGAGTTGGCATGGATGTCCGCAGGGCAGTACACACCTCATGGAAAGAGATGGATCAAATCTCTCAAATTCCCATCTCTCAAATTGTTTGGTATTAATTATGTGTTGACCAAGAGGAAATTCGCCATGACAAAGGAGTAAGCCACGTAAGAAAATATGCACAAATGATGAGTCAGCAACAAAATTGGTTTCTGAAAGAGTCTTCAAGGACTCCCTATAAAAATCAGCAGCTTTAAATCAGTATTCAGGAGAATTCAAAAAGTACCCTGAAACACTGTTGCATGGATCCATAGACATTATCTTCAAAAGCTATCCTAGTATAATTCGGAATGATGTCCAGAAGACTAAGGTATCTAATGGACATTATCTGTAGTGAAGATGTTAAGTGATGAAAGGTTAAAGGGAAAGATTTACAGCGTGTCGAGAGCACACTGTAATTTGTAGACTCAGAGCCTGTTTTACTGTGTCTTCCATGGTCACTGGCAAAGTCAGTGCTGGACCCACTTGTCTTTATTCTTTTAACTTCCAATAAATGACTGAAGGATCTCACATCTACAACAGGAAAATTACTAGACAATGCAGGAAAGGTCTTCTGAGATAAATGAACATTCTACATTAATTTAAAGGCTACAAATAGAATGATGAAGAACACTATCTCATAATGTCAGAGTTCAAAGGCACTTTTCAAATGTCTCTTAAAAGAAAATCTGACCTTTTCTTTTTTCTTTCTTTTTTTATTATCAGAAAGTTTGCCAAGGGCAGTCTGGGCCTTGGGTCATTTCATTTTGACATGGAAGTTCTTTCAGCATTAAAAATAATCAAAAGTCCAAAAATACTTAACTCTTCAGTGACCATGAAGACACATTCAGCAGTATAAACAAAGAACAATATTTATGCATTAGGATTTCAAAGATTGTTTTAGTAACTTCATAAAGCTTTTCCCTGTTATATACAACAGAGATAACTTACATGAGGCCATGACTAGCTCAAGAAGTAAGTACAAATAGATACTTTTTCTAATATATTTCATGTTAGTTTACATGAAATTTTTAGGAAAATCGCACAGCTAGCTATACCACTGGTAATTCTGTAAGCCTAAATATATTTATATATATGAATTAGCTGACAGATACAGATATGGACATAAATACATTTTCATGAAAAACAAAACCCTCTTACAAAAGGCTTCATTTCACATTTCAAAGTATAATTTTATAGAGAGTAAAACTTGCCCTTTTTGGCATATAGTTCTGCAAGTTTTGACAAATGAAGTTGTACAACTACCACCACAAGCAAGATAGAGAACAGTTCCATTGCAACCCAAAATTCCCCTGTACCCTTTTGTAGTAAACCCCTCCAGATGTCCTTTCTGTTCCTATAATTTTGCCTTTTCAAGAATGCCTTGTAAATGGAAATATGTAGTTATGTAGCAAAAACCTCTTAAATTTCATGCCCTTGATAAAAAGTGAAGTAACTAAATAAAGTGTCCATTTCAATGTATGATTTCTATTTCCTGAACTTAATGGCAATAATAGATATGTAAAATCAAATTACCCATGACTATTACATCTTGAAACAGGTATTAACTAGAGAACCTTTTGAATATATAGATCTTTAGGACTTCCTTTTCAACATACTGAATCAAAATCACTCGGTGAGTTTGAGAATTCAGTATGTATCAGGTGTCCAGGTTTGATTCTGATTGATCAGTCAGATTTGGGAAACATTAACCAATATATATTCACCATATGAGATCAACTACCTAACTGCAAATAACGTGTGGGGAAGGGATTAAAGTTCAGAAGGTGGGAGAGTCTTCTTGGATGGGGCTACTACTTACTGGCTGCAGGGCCTTGAACAAATCCCTTAAACTTGTGAACCTTTCTTCTCTATTATGCAGGGGTAACAATATCCATTTCATAAGATTATTCGGGGGATTCACTGCATATGAAGCATTTAGTATACTACCTGGTGCACTTAGTACTCAATGAATGAAAGCTGCTAACCTTGCTGGCATTGGTATTACCACTATCATCATTATCTTCATGCTGTCCTAAGTGCTTTATTTGTTTTTCTTCTGCCATTAAGTCAGTTTTACTAGTTTTTAGCCTTTCCTCTAGTGGTGACTAACATAAAAAGAATCCATTTTTGTAGCAGCCCAACTACTATTCAGAGCAGTGCAAAGCTAACAGAAATTCACTGATTGTCCTCAACCCTCACTTTTATTCTTCTATAGCCTCAAAGATACCAATAGGGACAAAAAGAGAATTACTATAAACTCACTCTTTTTCTCAAGAGGATGTTACTGGCCAAATATACAGTAAACAAAAGGGAGAAAGAGAAACAAAGGGCCAGAATAAACCAGAAAATTGGGCTGTCAGTGTAGTTAGGGAATATCTAAAACTTGACTTTATTCTTCAGTAGTTTGTACATATATATATATATATATTCTTAAGCTGCAGCTTTTATTTAAGCCCTGAAATACAGAGAAGTAATGATATTTGACTGTACTTGCTGAAATAAAGAAAGAGAATGTCATAACGCTGCCAATACCGAGGCCTGAAGACAAGCATCAAAAGACAAACAGGAAACTCGTTGCCCGACCTGTTCTCAGCATCAGCACTGCACTTCGGAGACATCAGTTCAAAGGATTTGGTGAACTTCACCACCTGCCACACAGAAAGACAACACATCCAAGTCAGTTAAAGCTTTCCTGCAGATTCAAATAAAGCAATAAACATTTCTCTTCATCTTTATAATGACTATCATAATAACTGCAGGTTAAACAGAGATTTTAAGTGGAGAAATCCCAAGGAACAGAAGAAGAAAATTCTACCATACATTTTGGATTTTACTTCTTATGCATTCTTATACACTGCCAGTTTTAATGCATTTCACTATACATGTATATATGTTTACAATGAGATGTGTACTATCCTGTGGTGGTCCAAGGGACATCTCATTTGAATACTATTTTTTTTACTGCTCTTTTAACAATCCAATCACTATCCATGGAAAGCCAGGTAGGGACAAAATACCCCTCAAAAAGGATGCCCTCTGTCAACCCTGGGTTTCTAAAGTTACTTATCATTGGCTCCCTGCCTTATCATTGTTCTCAAGTGAGCATTTTGCTGCCATCCCTCAAAGGGTAAAGAAGAGGAAGCCCCTTCTTCAAAGACCATCCCTTCTTCCTTCACTTGGACAAGTCCTTCTTCACAGGTCTAGTGAAACCAGCATACCATCTAAGAACTTGAGCAAGGCTTATTACCTTGAAAAGGAATTTATGGGCACAGAAAATGTAAAGGTAGTTTCTCTTATTATTAGTTATTATTGAGTTCTTACTATAAACCAGGCCCTACATCAGAAGCTTCTTGGACTATTTAATTTCCTCATTATATCTCTGTAAAATAGGGATTTTTATCTTTAGTATGTAGATGAGGAAACTAACCCATAATTTTTAAGATACCTGTTCAATGTCACACAACTAAATGAAGCAACTGGGATTAAAGCTAATCTGCATGACTCTGGAGTGCCAGCTCTTTCAGTAACACTAAAAATGTCGAGTGGTAAAGGCACCATCGCTGGCCCTCTTTTGAGAATATATATCACATAATAGAAAAATGAGTCCCTTATACTGAAAGGAGTCATCTGAATGCCATCTGGATACTTCCAAGTTTGACATTTAGATTTGCTTTAGCAAGAGAGAATCATGCTTCAAAGGCCTTTTAAATTAACCACTTATGAGGAACTGATGGGCACCTGAAAAAATGATTTGGAAACTAGAAATAGATTAAATATTAAAACAGCTTTATCAGTGAGGTAATGAGCCCAAATGAAGAAAATGAAACATTAGGAAAAAGATAAAAGTAAAGCAAAGCCCATCACAAAGAAAATTGTGTGTGACTAGAAAATTGTGCAGGGAGGTGACAACAGCTTAACTGCAAGGAAATACCCTGGACACCTATAGAGCATATTTCACATCATATTATAACATGAACTAAGCCTCTACAAAATAACTCATTGGGGAAAATTTTATTTTTCAAAGAGGGCCACAACAATTCCCTAGCCCACATTATTCTCCTCAGTACGACCCTGCCACCCTCCTACCAAGTAGTAGTACCTATATTCTCTCCCCTTGAATCTAAATGGGCTTCTGAACACTTCAACCAATAGAGTATATAGAAGAGACACTTTCTGATATTGTCATAAAAGGCAGTGCAACTTCTGCTCCATCTGATGGAACATTTGTGCCTAGAGCCCTGAGCTACTATGAAGTTTAACTACCCAGAGGTCACTATACTGAAAGCGTTTGGCAGAAAAATAGATATGAGTTAGGTGGAAAGAGAATAAGGGCAGTAAAGCCCACTAGAAGGGACTCAAAGAGTTAACCAGTCAAAACTAGAGAGCCAGAAAAGACTCAGAGTTAATGAGTTAATCAGCTGAAACTCCAAAGGCCAGGAGTAACTTGGAATGTCCAAATATTCCCCAGAATAAAGAGAAGTATTTGAGCACAGCCCATGTCTTCACTATGTCAATTAGATCATGCCATTGTAAGATTTACTTTAGACTGCTAAAAGGCCCAGTTTATTCCTTAACTTAACCTATATGCTGTTTTTATCTCCTCCATCCCTTAATCAAGTAATTTGCAACCTGAGCAGGAGACAAGCATCATGATTAATTCAGCAAACAAACCCAGCTATAAACAGCATAGGAAAAACAGGAAAGATTCCATCTTACAGCTAAGATTGCATTTTAAAACCCAGGAAATTAAGAAAATTCTTAACATATTCTTTAGCAAGCAGACAATAACTCAGCCCACCTTGTGGGCAGGGCAGGCAGTCTTGATTGATATGTTTCCAGAGGGAAGCTGCTATCCTGGGGATCAGTAAATTTCTTGTTTTGTTAATTTTGCAGAATTACCTGGAGGACTGATAATAGAAGAGACGTAATGTCTCTCATCAAAGATAAACATCTTGAGACCACTTTACAAGTCCACACCTCTAGCCCTTTGTCACATTCCTAAAAAGTCCTTAAAAGGAGGAACCCCCAATCTTCTCTGAGGTAGCCCACACTTCCCTTTCTCCAAGTGTGTACTTTTTCTCTTTAAATAAAACTTAAACTTTTCAGGGCCTCTTCTCTGAGGCAGCTCACACTCCCCTTTCTCTGAGTGTGCACCTTTTTGCCTTACATAAAACTTTTTTTCAACCTTGCAGGGTACACCTCTCTCTGAGGTTGCCCGCACATTCTCTCTTTTTAAATAAAACTTAAACCTTTCAGGGTGCCAATCCTCCCTAAGGTTGCCTGCACTTTTTCTCTCTTTAAGTGCATAACTTTAAATAAAACTTTTACTCTGCTTCACTACTGTGTCTCTGACCTTTAATTCTTTGTTGTGACAGGGACAAGAACCAAGGAAAATAAAGAACACCCCCTAACAAAAGGGAGATAAACCACATAGAGAGACCACAGACAAATGCTTAGGTCAGTAGCTCCAGTCTTGAAGCAATCCCAACACAGGTGCCAGACCTATATAGGAGTGAACAAACCTTCAGATGATTCTGGTTCCCAGCCATGAAGCCACCACCACTCATCTCCTTTTTTTCCAACTGTGGACCCAGCTATCCTGGAAAGAGGCAAGTCCAAACTTCCTATACTCTCTCCAAATTCCTGACCCACAGAATCAGTGAGAATAATAATATGGTTGGGTTAAGTCTCTAAGTTGGGGTTTGTTAACAGCAAAAGTAACAGGAGCTCTTATATTAACTGAGGACTTGAACAGAAACCAGTCACCTAGAAATCCTGATCCTGATGCAATATTCTTGCATATCACAAGGAAAGAAGCCACAGAGAGACTGTTTGCTATCACCGAATAATAAATCCCTCAGGCTATACCCTAAGTAATTCTTAAAGTTAAGACAATAACAGCATAAAAAGTAGAAGCATTTCATTTATGTTTGCAGAAGGGGAAATAGCCACAAATTTTAAAAGAGGGAGGGAGCTCTACATCTCTGCTTTGATCTCTCATCATTTGCAATTTCTTTCCATTATTTTGTAGATAACAGTAAATTCTATTCCTATTTTCATCATGTTTCAGGCTTTATGGACCACACGTTTGTGTCCCTCCCAAATTCATACATCAAAACCCTAATCCTCAATGTGATGGTATTTGGAGATGGAGCCTTTGGGAGGAAATTAGGTCCTGAAGGTTGTAGCTCTTGTTGGGGGTGGGGGCGGGGGGCAGTGAGGAGAATATGTTCCCAGCCTGAGGCAAATAACCTCTGAAGCCAAAATCAGTCAAAGGGAAAAATAAAGTGGGAGAAACCCATTTATTGCTTATTAGCGGTCGTCCATTTCTGCTCGCCTGTGTCTCTCACAACCCGGCTGCAAAGGGACACCACCAAACCTCTCAGGTCCAGGTGTGCCCTTGCTCCCCACCCCCTTTAGAAGCACCTATTGATATGGAGATGCACTAAGGCCAGGCAAGAGATTCTAGAAATATTGCAATTTTAGCCACAAAGGTGAAGACTCATGAGGGGATTAGTGCTTTTATAAGAAGATATAAGAAAGTTTGCTTCTTCTTCTCTGCTAAGTGAGGATACAAGAAGGTGGCCATCTGCAAACTAGGGGGAGTGCTCTCACTAGACACTATCTGCCAGTACCTTGTTCTTGAACTTCCCAGCCTCTGGAACTGTGAAAAATAGGTGTTTGTTGTTTAAGCCATCCAGTCTATAATTTGCTATAGCAGCCCAAACTAAGACAACTGTATCCTACCATTTTACTGCAAATCCGTATGAGGCACTTTGCACACATTACGACCTATCCTTTATGTATGTATTAATGCTTTTAACACCCCAGCAAGATATGATTATCCCCATTTTATTGAAGGGAAAGTAAGCTTAGAGGGGTGAAGTAGTTTCCTGGAAACCATACAACCAATACACTGCAGGATTGGAATTTGAATCATGTTAGTCTGATTCCACAGCCCCAGTCTCCCCATTACTCCACTGCTTACTGTTTCATAAGCATGATGTCCACAGCAGCAAATTATTTGGGCATGACTTTTTCAAAACCATAATAGTTAGATAAACTCTGCCTTTATTTATTAATTCTGCAAATACTTACTGACTACCTACTATCTGTCTGAATTTGAATATAGACTAAGAATACTTACAAAGTAAAACGATTGACTTGATATAAAACTAATCAAATTACCTATAAACTATGAATTGTTTCTGTATTCAGAAATCAAGAAGGATAAATCTTTCAAATTCCTTACCTAATAGATGAGATTAAACTCCCCATTGTTCCTAGGAATACTTCATTTGGCTTATCTTTCACCACCGATAAGAATACAAGACTGAAAGGACAGACGTGAGTATTTGAAAAACTGATAGTGATGCAAATTGGATTGTAAATGGGAGAGTAAGGCCCTTTGGGGGTCTTTAAGACTCACTATAACACAGCCTCTAACATAACAAAAATTATGACCAGAAAGGCATGCAAAATTAAAGGATTTATTATACTCACAGATACTAGAAAGAAGGGCATATACGGCATGCCCAGGGGGCCCTACAAAGTCACCTAAAGCCCAAAGTTTGGTCACTGAAAGCAAGGAGAGAACAGAGCAAGGATCTTGGTAAATGCCTTCATGGAGGGTCATGGGTGGGTAGTTTAGACTGTGGCACTTGGGAAGCATTCTTGCTGGGTAATTTGAATGCAACTGGTTCAACATGGAAAGGAGGGAAGGGGTAAAATGGGGAAGTTATCATGAGGCTTATAGCCTGAACACACCTGTTGGAGATGGGTACCCAGAAATGGACAATAATTAGGTAAAAGTTCAAAACCGACAGGCCAAGTGCCAACACACAGGGAGCCATTGAAGCAACAAAAAACAGCTTAACATCACGCAAATGATTTTGGTTCTATAACAATGCAATGAATTGTATCCAAGTAGAAATGCAAATAATTTCTGTGCAGTAGGAAAGATAAGCCAATTACAATTTTATTGTCTTGGATGAGAGTAGCAATTTTTTAAATTTAACTTGGCAATCTTTTGTCAGCCTTCTTTCAGTGCCTATTTTAGAACTGGCTTTATCATCTTGCTGTTTTTTCTCATTAATGGGTTAAACAAATCTTTGATATGTGCTTGCTTTAGATTTATACAAGGGTTAGGTTTTTAACCTTTTTAAATGGTTCTTTGATACTACAAATATGAACTGAGTGTATGTGCGATGTAGTGCAAAGGGCACTGGGGCTGCACATGAGAAAGTGAAAGAAAATAAATCTCTGCATGCATGCAGCTTTCTTTATGGCATGGAGCTTAATTTGCTCTGGCTCCTCAAAACAAGTGCTCCCTGGAATAATAAGTGAACTTCTGCTTGCCTCACTTTAAGAAGACAAACCTGGAAAATGGTCAGAAATTAAAAGAGAATGAAGATATTTCAAAAATAAAAATAAAAGCTACTAACAGATAGCAGCTTACAAGAACTGGAATAGAAAGTCCTGGAGTTTTAAAGCTATAAAACATAGATCTAGAATCACAAAGACAATGGGTAAGATAAACAAGTACCTCTTGATGAAATGTCAGAATGTTTGAACTCAAAATGTAAGAGAAGGTCTTTTAAAACTACCACAAGGAAGAGAGACCTTTTTCTAAAATGTTGAAACTTTTTATTCCAACATAAATCACAAGCTGAAAAGAAAAACAGTTGTTTTGTTTTACTTATTTTCTAAGTTCATGTTTAATGAATAAAGTGTAAGTCAAAGATTACCATATATCTTTCAATGTTAGCACTCCGTGTCATGGAGAATACTAGTTGTGTCACCAAAGAAATCAGCCCATGCTGTCCTGATCAAAGCCAGTCACTGGATTCATGAATCACAGTGCTGGCTTTGTGCACAGTGAAGAATTAACCTTAACCCAAAGTAAGGTCTGACCTTTGTCCTTGGCTCCTGGGGGGTAACTTCCAAACTGCTTTAATGTCCAGCTTTGATAAAATTGTTTTTGACAGGGCACCTGGGGTCAGCCAGGTAGTAACAATGTAATTTAGAGTGGGAACTTTGGGCCACACCAGAAATATGATTTAGGATGGGGGCTTTGGGTCATGTGTATCAGCTGACCTCTAGAGAAGATGGAGGCTGGGGTCAGCTATGTGGGTGCCCAAGGCCAGTAAAGACTTGGGATGCCAAGGCTCAGGTGATCATCTCTGGTTGTCATTACTTCATGCATATTGACACACATGACTGCCAAGAGAAGTTAGTGCTGAGAGGACAACTGCAGCTCCTCTTTGGGGACCCTCCTGGACTCTGCCCATGCAGCACTCTCTTGGCTGATTTTAGTTTCTGTCTTTTCCCATAATAAACCATAACCATGAGCATAACAGCTTTCCGTGAGTTCTGTGAGCCCTTCTAGCAAACTACTGAGACTGAGGATGGTCTTGGGAATCCCTGAACTTGTAATTAGTGTCAGAAGTGAGGACAGTACTATAGACTATCTTCCCTAACTTTGCACCTTGTATATGGTAATTATTACGTTGCTGTGGCCTTTAGAAGACAAATGAGGATAATACTTGGGTTGACTGGTCTTTGATTGTCCAGTGTATATCAAGAATTGGATAGCACATGAAGATAACAAAAAATAGTAAACAAGGTCTCTAACCTTTAAAAAATAAATATTTTAAAGGCGAAAACAATTTAAACTTAAGGGTTAGGAAAAATGTCTTGATCCTTTGATGTGATTCCTTTTACTAAACCAACAGAATTATAAAATCTATTAAATTTTTTCTTTTACTTTGGCAGTTTTGAAGCTCAAAGTGAAGCTCTAGGTTCCAAATTTTATCTTTTTGCAGCATAATTTGTTTTCGAATTTGTTGATTTGCTTTGGTTTTGCTTGCAACATCTAGTTTCTTCCTTTTTATTTGAAATTTTGCTTTCATTCTACTATGTGCCTGTCACATAATAACACTCAGAAAATATTTCTTCACTATGAATTTTTGTATTTTTGCTGAAGGGGGCTTTAATTGCTTTTGGTAATTAATTGAGTAAAAGTATAAACAAAGAGTAGATGAAGTACTCACATACTTGAAAAATGTATGGAGTATATAAAAATACTTTTACCCATGAAATGACATAAATTTGTTTATGTAAGACTAGTTGAAAAAAGCTATTATGTATATACCATTAAGTTATGTAAAAGTATTTTTCAGAAGTAAAGGAAGGGAATATGGAATGGTAGGTAAGAAAAATACAACATTTAAGGGCATACAGCTAATAGCAAACAATATAAGAATAAAGAGAGAAATAGCCTTAGGTCCCATTAAGAGAGTGATAAAATATAAGCAAAGCAATGGAAGTAAGCACAAATCCACTGACGACTATAAGCCATATAAATCAAGGAAGTGGCAAAACACCAACCTTGATTTCATAAGGTGTATAAAGTTAGTCTGGTTCCAGGATATTTAACTATGAAGGACTTCAAATTCATGCTAGACTGGATCTAAAATTTGTTACAGAAATCCTAGTCTACCCCTGTACTCAGGAACCAAGGATTGCTGGTGGAATCCCCTTCGAGATTCTCTGAATTTAGAGCAAT